TTTTTCTTGCCTCTTTTATGTGAGATAATTTGCCCCATTCTATCTTTCCCTTTCGCTTTCTCCCAGTGCATTCTTCTCTCGCCCTTAAATTTTATTTTTTAGATATCATCCCTTAATATCCAACTCACACTTGTGCATGCTGTCTATATAGGCTACTGCTAACTGCCCTAATAATGAGAAAGTTCTTATGAGTTACAAGTATCATCTTCTCATGTAGGAATGTAAACAATACAACCTTATTAAGTCCCTTATGATTTCTCTTTCCTGTGTACCCTTTTATCCTTATTTTGAATCTTGTATTTGAAAGTCAAATTTTCTATTCAGTTCTGGTCTTTTCATTAAAAAAAGCTTTAAAGTCCTCTATCTCATTGAATATCTTTTTTTTCCCCTGAAGGATTCTACTCAATTTTTCTGGGTAGGTGATTTGTGGTTGTAATCCTAGTTCCCTTTTTCTCTGGAATATGATATTACAAGCCCTCAGATCATTTAATGTAGAAGCTAATAAATCTTGTGTTATCCTGACTGTGGCTCCATGATATTTGAACTGTTTCTTTCTGGCTGCTTGCATTATTTTCTCCTTAACCGGGGAGCACTGGAATTTGGCTATAATATCCCAAGCAGCTTTCATTTTGGGATCTCCAGGAGGTATTCAGTTGGTTCTTTCAATTTCTTTTTCACTTTCTGGTTCTAGAATATCAGGAAAATTTTCCTTGATAATTTCTTGAAAGATGATGTCTAGGCTCTTTTTTTGATCATGGCTTTCAGGTAGCCCAGTAATTTTAAAATTATCTCTCCTGGATCTATTTTCCAGGTCAGTTATTTTTCCAATGAGATATTTCACATTGCCTTCTATTTTTTTTTCATTCTTTTGATTTTATTTTATTGTTTCTTGATTTTTCATAAAATCATTAGCTTCTATTTGCTCCATTCTAATTTTTAAGGAATTGTTTTCTTCAGTGAGCTTTTGTACCTCCTTTTCCATTTGGCCAATTCTGCTTTTAAGGCATTATTCACTTCATTTGCTTTTTGGACTTCTTTTGCCATTTGGCCTAGTCTGTTTTATAAGGTGTTTTTTTTTCTTCAGTATTTTTTTGTGTGTCCTTTACTAAACCACTGACTTGTTTTTATGATTTTCTTACATTGCTCTCATTTCTCTTCCCAATTTTTGTTCTACCTCTCTTACTTCATTTTCAAATCCTTTTTGAGCCCTTCCATGGCCTGAGACCAATTCATATTTTCCTTGGAGGCTTTGGATGTAGGAGCTTTGACTTTGTTATCTTCTTCTGAGTATGTGTTTTGCTCGTCCTTGTCACCATAGTAACTTTAATGGTCAGAATTTTTTTCTGTTGTTTGCCCATTTTTCCAGTCTATTTCTTGACTTGTAACACTTTGTTAAAGTAGGCCTCTGCTTCCAGGGTGGAGGGTACACTATCCCAAGCTTTAGGTAGTTTTTGCAGCTGTTTTCAGAGAAACTTCTAGGGACCTGTAAATTTTCAATTCTTCCAAAGTGGTACGATCTAAGGAGAGGTATTTACTCCTCTCCTGGCCTGTGCTCTGGTCTGAGAGTAACCACAAGCATTCTTTCTTGCCCTGGAACTGCGACAAGGGTCCTTGTTTCCCTGTGTGTACTAGTTGTTCTCCTTGCTGTGGGACTGCTGCCCAGGACTATGACGTAGATCTGAGTGTGGCAAAACAACAGAGTACTGCCCTCAGTGCCATCAAAGAGACCTGTCATCTCCTTCTGATCAATTGTTCAATCCCTTTACCATCTGTGGACCAACAGCTCCATAAGCAGTCACTGCCACTGCTGATTCAGTGCCTCCCAAGGTCTACTCCTGGTTTGCTGAGGCTCAGTCTGTGCTGGTGCAGTCTGTGCTGGACTGTGCTCCTCCACTCTCACCCCAGTGCCACAGACCTTTCCTGCCAACCTTCTAAGTTGTCTTTGGCTAGGAAATCATTTCGCCCTGTCCTTTTTTGGTTTCTACCACTTTGGGAATTGTTTTATGGCATTATTTAACAGTGTGCAGAGGGGTTTGGGGGAGAGATCAGGGGAGTAGATGCCTTTTCTCCACCATTTTGGCTCTTCCTGCAGGCAGCTGCTCTATAAGGCATTATATGGTCCAAGTCTCTAACCTCTACAAATAAAAAGGCTGGTTCAACATTTTCCCAAATACACAGGAGGGAGCTGAATCTCTCAAGTCAATCTGATTCAGGAATGGACAAGTAAATTGTTGGTAGTCAGGAGAAAGCTGTAGCTGATCACATGACTCCTCTACTGCTCATCAGGGCTAGGCAGGTTACACCACACTTCCTCCTTACCCCTCAGGGTCTAAGATATCCTTCTAAGAAGAAAATCTAAGAGATTTATGCTCTTATTGGCTGTGTTCCCTCCATATTTGGGAGTTAGTAAATAGCATCCCCGTTCCATTTAATATTGACTAGCATTTAAAAAGGAATATTTACTTCATAAATATAGCAAGAAAAAGCATTTTTCCCCAATAGGTCCAGCGCATGCTTTCCCCTCTCCACGGTCATGTGCGAATAGCCTCAAAACTTAGTTCAGTTCCTATATAGCATCAGCTCAACCAAATTCGTGTCTAGATGTAGCATGATTGGCATATATGCTGTGCTGGCTGCAAAATCCAGCCTGCATTTCAACTCATATATTCCTGTGAACTCTTCCAGAGTCAAATGGAGAGGAAAGAGCCTTTTTGAACGCCTCTCAAGCAAATCTCTAGCATCCTCCACTTGGAGAGAGATTGCATTAGCTGAGCAGGCTGATGGGGTCTGTGCAGCCATGGCCAATTTTCCCTCAGTTCCTCACAAGCCATACTCTGTCTCCTGTACTCCTTTCCTTCTTTCTGGCTCAGAAAGTCCCTTTCTTCCTTCAATATACAACTCAGCACAATCTTCTTCATGAAACCTTTCCTGACCCACCACCCCCAACTGTGAGTACCTTCCTTCCCAACCTACATTATATATAGTTATTTTGTATATATCTGTGTTCATTGACTTAATATTTATGCTGCATATATTTTTATATGTCTGCCCCCATTAGAATGTAAGCTCATTGCAAGTAGGGATTGTTTCATTTGTGCTACTTATACTCATGGCCCTTATCATGGTGTCTCACATATAGTTACTTCATTGATTGTTAGGGTGGTCAAAACTGAAAAAGGCACCGAATCCTGATAGGACAAGTGGCTGCTATACTCTGGAGACCCAGGGACTGGGGAGCAGTTCCAGAACATATGCTACATGGAATTCCCTTCTGAAGGGAGCCTTGTAGCTTCTTGTTGATTACTTTATCTGTTAGGGTAAGTAGCCTTAATCCACACCTCCTGACCCTTATAGGTGGTTGGAAGGAGCTATAACAAGGATACTCCTAAGTGAATTCTACTGCTCCTCCTAATAACTTGAGATAAATCAGGACTAAAACCATTTTGGTACCAGAGCTTCCTAAAAGTGATGTCATCATCACCAATAGCATCATCATTATGAGTAGCAATGAAAGACAAGAGTTAGACCTGAAAGAATGGAAAGAGCCCTGGACCGGCAGTCAGAAGACCTGGGTTCAAATCCCAGCTCTGCTGCTTGCTATTTGTGTGACCAGAGGCAAATCATTTCTCTGGGCTTTGGTCTTCTCAACTGGAAAATGAAGAGGTTAGACTAGGTGACTCCTGATGTGTTTCCCAGCTCTAAATTCTTCAATCTTCTAGCCTATGATCCTAGGCTTAAGTACTTTTACAGCCATTATTAGTTTGGAATAATTGTGTAATCTACTTTTCTTTAGATTTTTTTTCATGCTCTGTTGTAGGCACTTGGCATGGGCAGACACGCTAAATTACGAGGCTATGTGGAAAGGTCCAAAATGGAGCTGCAGAGTCTATCACATATTGAAGCTACTGATCACAAGCTAGTCTCCACTTTGCAATACTACATTTTGGCAACAATTTTAATTTTGTTCTATATAATATACAAGGTGCTACTGCAAGTGCAATGAGAAAAGAAAAGAATGTCATGGTCTGCACAAATATTGGAGGTAGCAAGAGGCCACATGTTAGGCAATTTGGAAACTGGCACAATTTTTTTTTCCTCTGATGCCAAATATAAGAAATTTTGAAGGCTAATGTGACCTCAGGGACATAGTTACCAGAAAACACTTACCTTTAATTTTTTAAAAGTCAGTAATACCAGATGGTGCATGGGTGCCCTATAAATCCTTAATAAATATTTATGGATGACTAATTTTTGTAATTGATATTTAAAATTATATATTGCCCTTTAAAATTTGTACTTGTACAAACAGTGACTAAATAGATCTACTTGTTATTCAAAATTATTATTTTTATTCCTAAGGGGGCCAGTGTGGTATAGTGGAAAGAACAATGACTCTGGAGTCAATGGCTATGGGTCCAAATCCACATGTGATTCTTATTAACTGTGTGACCTTGGGCAGGTCACCTTGTACTCAGTTTCCTCATTTGTAAAAGGAGGGGTTTGAACTCAATGGCCTCTAAGATCCTCTCTTCCTCTTGGTCTGTGAACTATAACCTATTTCTCGTTTATATAACATGAACATCCTATTTATGTTCCTTAATTTTAAACAGTGCTATGCCATTTTACTAAGCAGTGACTGTACATGTCAAAGACATGGACCTACTTTCCAAAGTGCTTACAGCTGATGGAATGAAAATTATTACTATATGGCCTTTTGAGTGAGAAAAAAAGTCTAAGGATGTTTGTAATTTGATATTGGTGCAAATTCTTACTACTGCATTTCAGTTTATCTGAAAAAATTCTTTCAAGCAAGGTTAATAAAAAGCTCTTTCTCCTATTAAATATTTCTCCTACTGCTAAGTGGATCACTATGGACACATGCAATGGCTTGCCTTCCTCTGTCAACATACAAATGGTAAAAGAAAAAAAAATTAATAATGGAGTTCCAATTAGGCATCTTCTCTGTGTTTCTTGGATGCTTTTTGCCAGTACATACTTACCAACACTAAACTCACTCCTCAACAAGATTTTTAGTATCAGACAATCATCATGCAGGAGGGTTTCCAAAAGCAAGTTCCAATTACAACAGGGTTGGGATAAGAGCAGTTTCAATCGACCCTGGACTGCTATTTCTCCAGCTGATAGAGTCCTTTCAAAATACAAGATAAAGAAGGAATAATGTAGTTAATTTATCTATGAAATTAATAGCCTTCAAATGCAGCTGTAATACTAACTCCTTAAATGTCAATTCCTTCCAGATTACTCTGAAAATGCTTTCATGCTTGCTTACTTTCAGGCTTCTCAGAGAAGGAATTACATTTAATCTCAACTAGCTAAAAGCAAATTAACATTTGGTGGTCTGCCAAATTTATAACTGATACAAAGTAACCTCACTGATAACTCAACGAACAATTTAAATTCTTGTTTTGTGAGGCAAAAACGTTTTATGTGCATGAACATATTAAATTAATATATGATTGCTTCTTTCATCATTCAGCATATATTTATTTTGGCTTCAGATATTTCAGTGTATATCAATATTGATGAAAACACAAAAATAAAATAAACTTATTTTTGTCAAGTCAACAAGTATTTATTAAATGCCTACTATGGGACAGGAAATTTCTAACTGTTGCCCATATAAAGCTTCATTACATAGGATCATGACACTAACCATATATTCAATACTGTAACCATTGCCAATACTCATCCTTCTGCATTCCTGGATCAACTTAATGATAGGGAAATGAACAGAAGGCAGGAGAGGAACATGGAACTTGAAGTCACTGCTCATATTGAGTTCGGTAATCTTTGTGAACTTGGGCAAGGCACAATCTCTTGGGACCTCAGTTTTCTTATTTGTAAAATAAGGGGCTTGAAAACTTCTAAGGTTAGTTCCATATTTATTCCCATGATTAATAGGTTCAGAACCACTACCAAGGTTAACTTTTTTCAGTCAAAACTTGTGATTTCATTGGTACAGAATATACTCACACATTCTGTATGAAGAAGCTCTCTCTACTAATGCTGATCAACTGTTCTGCAATTTATAATCTTAGAAAATTGCCTGGAGTTTTGAAAGGTTATGTGACCTTCCCAAGTTATCACATAGCCAGTTAGGGTCAGAGATGGGATTTGAACCCATATCAGGCCTCTATCCAATACACTATGCTGCCTCTCTCACATAACAGTAATTACATCCTACAACACTATCATTTTATAATTTGCTAGAGTGTTAAACAGTAGGTAGGTGAGTAAAACTAGTCCAATCCAACAAGCACGTAATAAGTATTTTTTACATGCACTGTGGTGGGCACTGGAGATTTTAGAAACAATGTTAAGTTAAACTTCTCTTTTAATTATGTACATTAAGGGGTAAAGTTTTATTCAATGATAATAAGCCACAGCATGGCACAGTAGATAGAGAGCTAGTCTCATGTCAAGAAGACCTAGGTTCAAGTCCTGCCTGTCACATATGTGGGCTGTGTGATCCTGTTCAAATCTCTGAGCTCTCAAGGCAACTCTGTGACATGGTAAGTTGCCAAGCAGGTACAGATCTGCCTTGGCAAAGAAAATTCTCATTCAAAGTTTACTATATAAATGAAATCAAAGGTCCAGACCAAAATCCAAATTATTCAACATAATTCACAATCTAGTGTCATCCTTGATTCCTCCCCTCTCTTTAACCCCTTCATATCCAATCTGTTGCCGAGGACTGTCCATTTTACCTTCGTAACATTTCTCAAATATGTCTACTTTACTTCTCTGACATAGATGCCACCCTGGTACAGGCCCTTATCACTTCACACCTGGACTACTGCAATAGCCTGGCCACTGCTCTCCCTGTAACAAGTCTTTCCCACTCCAGTCCAGCCACAACTTGGCTGTCAAGATGATCTTCCTAAAGCATAAGTTAGACCGTCTCATCCCACCCTCAGTCCCCCATATCCCTGCACTCAATAAAACCCCACTGGCTCCCTATCTTCTGCAGGATCAAATACAAAGTCCTATGTTTATCCTTTAAAGCTCTTCAGAACCTCCTTCCCACCCTTTCCAATCGTTTTGCACGCCCCGCCCCCAAGCTCATACTGGGCCCCCCGCCCCATATGTTCCTTAAACAAGATATTCTAGATCCTTATTCCAGACATTTTCATTAGATGCCCTTCATGCCTGGAATGCTCTCCCTCCTAACCTCTATCTCCTGGCTTACCTGGCTTCCTTCAAGTCCCATCTAAAATCCCACATTCTACAGGAAACCTGGGCTGATCTTCCTTTATTCTAGTGCCCTCCCTCAGTTTATTTCCAATAATTATTCTGTATGTAGCTTGACTGTACATAAATGTTTACATGTTATCTCCTCTATTAGACTGTAAGCTCCCTGAGAATGAGGGCTGTCTTTTACCTTTTTAATATCTTCAGAGCTTAACACAGTACCTGGCACATAGTAGGTACTTAATAGATGTTTATTGACTGAATAGTATTGCAACTAAGCTAAATACTACAGAGCAACAGTTCTTAATCTAGAATCCATAAACTTTTTTTAAAAACTGCTGTTATTTCAACATAATTGGCTTTCTTTGTAACTTATTTTGCATATTTTATTCTATTCATTTTTTAAAAAAATAATTTATTTTGAATTATCAACAATCACTTCCATAAGCTTTTGAGTTTTAAATTTTTCTCCCCTTCCCTCCCTCCCCCTCCCCAAGATGGCTCACAATCTGATATTTTATTCATTTTAAAACATTATTCTGATTTGGGTTCCACAGATTTCATCCGGATTGCCAGAAGGGTCAGTCCATGATTCAACCCCCTGCATAGAGAGTAATTACAACGTAGAAAGCAGAAAGGCAGTTCAAAAATCAGTTCACAGAATACAAAATCCAAGGAAGAGGCTAGTAATAAAATCTGTAGTCTCAAATGTCTATACAGAAACATTCAAAGTAGAGACAACAAGCAAAATGAATTGGAACTCTTGGGCAAATTGCATCTTAAAGTTATCACTGAAAGTTAGGTGAGATCAAACCTATGCCTGGAATATGACCCTGGATAGGTCTACTTTATTAAAAAAAAATAGATAAGAAAAAGAGGGAGTGATACTATTGTATATTAAAAAGGTTCAAACCAAATGCCAGATTGAGAAAGCATGGTAAAGATCAATGAAGGGAGAAGGAGAAGTGATTTTATCATGCTAAAGATGGCTTAGATGGAAAGGTTCCCAAAGTGGGTGATACTGCCTCCTGGGGGGCCACTGGAATGATGGGGGATCAATAGTAGCCTCAGGTACAATTGGGGGTGTTGAATAAAAATAAGGGGACTGTGGAAGCATAAGGAAAGAAGAGAAGATAAGAAAAATTTGAAAAACTGTTCCTACATGTTTCATCTATTGCGTAATGAAGTTGTAGTGATGACATTATTTTCTAAATAAACACACAAAATGCAAATTATAAACAATCAGTGGTCAAGTCTGCCAAAAGGTCTTAACAACAAACAAGCTTTGGCAGGTGAACATGGTGGATACATGCATATGAAAGAATATGTGCTTGTACTGACTTGTTTACAATATAATACTAGATAGTTACATGATGCATCATCAAAATTCAATGCAGGAAAAAATCCCACAAATTTATAATAAATTACTAAATTTAAGATGCATCATTTTAAAAAATATGTATTTTTTGAAATGACACAAATTTTAAAAAACCTTTAAAGGGTTAAAAAAAGTAGATTTCCACCACAAAGACACTGAATAATTTTTTTTTTAAAAAGGGGGCAGTAGGCTACATAAGTTTGGGAACCTCTGCCTTAGACAAAAAAAGGAAATAGACATTGAGTTCAGAAAACAGATCCCAAGTCTGGCCCAGAGGAATGGTATTGTAGTGATGGAAGCCTTTGATTATCTAGGTATCTGCTACAGCTCTCTCTCCCTATCAAACAGAGCCACTAATAATTTCATAACTTGCCTTATCAGTCATTACATCCTTCAAAAAATAGAGAACCCAACGCAGGGAAAAGGAGAAAATTATAGTCTGGATCTGATTCTCAGGTAGAAACTGTTGGTTGGAGTGGAAATGATAGAAATGCTGGAGAAGTGATTGCTCTCTCCTAGAGTCTGTGATAGCTGGGGAAAGCCATGCACAGTCTGACAGGCACTTTAGAGTTAGAAAGAGCAGATTTCAAAGGATTTAGGGGAAGGATAGGTAAGATTTCCTGGCCTAAAATGCTACAACAGAATTCAGCCCAGGAGGGATGAAATAATGGGTGAAATGAGCTCTGAAAACCTTAGAGTTATATAAATTTCAATTATATAAATGTCATCAAGACCCCACACCAGTCCTACCTCTAACAATTAAGTTAAAACCAGTGCACATTTATTAAGCACTTATTATGTACAATACACTATTCTAAGTTCTGGGAATGTAAAGGAGCTTACAATTTAATTGGAAGGACAACAGGCATTCTAGAAATAACTATCACCTAAAGCAGAAGGTGCCAAGTGCAAAGAGAAATCTAGAGAAAGCACAATGAACAATTTGAAAATGAATCTTTGGTCTCTTTCAGCTGGGACAATCATGTAAAGTTCCTAGGAGAAAGGAGGGGGTGTTTTACATTTCTTTCACACCCCTCCCAGTATTGTTTAATTAGGGGTGAAGATGGGGAGTCTCAAAGCCTCCTGGATAGGAGCAAAATTTTAACACAAACATTCCCTCCTCCCATGAAGGTGAGGCCAATTTTTCCTTGAAAGGTACTGACAAGAGCCTGGGGAATTGGTTGACTCAGGGGACTAAAGGCTCATATTTGTCAAGCTACATAATAGGCACTTAATATTTGTTGACTGACTCACTGAGCACAAAGCTACCGTTAAAGGCTTGTAGGTGGAGATTGGAGGAGAGCAGGCTGTCAGAGGTATGGCCAGAAGATCAGGAAGGGTAAGGCATGCTCAGCTGAATCAGCTGGAGGTATTCTGAATAACTTTCTCCTCTTTTGACTAAATAAATCTCCTTTTGTTAACTGTTGAATGACCTATAAGGGTCTCATTTTGTTACAATATCAAACTTAAACCACTGGAGGACTGGCCAGAGTCAGGCCTAGCCTTTAACGGAATGACAGTAGAATGTAAGGCCTGGCAGGTTCTGTCCACCTGAAAAA